GGGGGGGGGGGGGGGGGGGTTGCAGAATAATGTAAGGGTGTAGAATAACTTAATTCAGTAAATGAATGTGAAGAATTGCATAAACATACCTTCTATTTTTCCAGTTGGGTGGGGAAGCACTAAATGCCGAGAAATAGCCATGGGACTACCAACATCAGTCACGTCTATGAACCCACACACTTCAATAGTATCAGAGATGCTTCTTTTCACTGATTCAAAGTCATTTGCTTTACAGAATGGCTGAAAGTAATCAGAAATTCATTCACCATTCATTCATGCTTCAAATGTATTTTTATTGAGCATGTCTCCAGTATTGAGAACTTACTGAACACTGTCAGTCAGTTTAAAATGAACTATTATGCAATTGATTATGAGAATTTGGACATAAATAATACTTCAGTTCTCTTATATTTCAACATCAACACTTTGTAACACGTAACAAACAAGCGAATTTAAATGGTGCAATGTGTTACAGTGAAACAAGATGACGAGTATACACCGAGCTGGAAGTGGCCTGTAAAATTTTGCTAAGCATGTAATTTTCATGTTCTTAGTAATAGGTTTTATTTCTCATTATAAAAATTACCTTTGCTTTTATAGAACTCAACATTCTATTACTGTACTTTATTAGAATTTTCAGGACATGCCATGTTGGATTGTGGAAAACCTTGTACAACTGTCTCATAACCCCAAAATCATTTAATTGGCACAGGAAAAGCTAAAGGAGAGGGTTGGTGAAGTGGTAAAAGTTGTTGGCCTCTACGTTATATGCCATAACCGTAGTTACATTCAACTAAAACATGCCAAGTACCTGAGGGGATGGGGAAAGAATAATCTGTGATCCAAGGTTACCACACTTCAGCATTCCCTGAAATGATGCAAAGTTTGCCTCAGACAGCTTCTGAAACATGGTCTGCACACTTTTCACAGAGAGGGGTCCCTCCGGAACAAGCACTGCACTGTCAGATCCTGCCAGCTCTACTAACCTATGGTAGAGCGGCAGACCCAACTGTAATCCAGGGTCGTCCGTTGAAGCAATACACACGACACTTAATTTACCAGGGAAGGAAAACGGTAATGGGAAAGGAGACGCGGGGTCTCGTTGGGCTAATGTGCTCAGTGAATGCTTGAGTGACATGGGGCCTACTCCAGGACTTCCATCTGTAACCAGTACCACCTGAAACAATGACATTTTGAATTACAAACAAACAATAAACTACTGTGTAAGATTTGAGGTTTTCACAGCGGTGAGTATGAAGATTTCCGTCTTCTGGGTTGTTGCGCTGTGTAGTCTGGTCGATGTTAACCAACGTTTCAGAGGTCAT